CCCCCCCCCCCCCCCCCCAACCTCAATGCAGAGAGAATTGTTCGATCAAAATTGACAATAAAATTAACAAATCGCATTATAAAATATTACCTATTTGAGATAAGGGTTCAAACTATGCATTTATTCTCAACATTCTTTATTTTCCTTCTCAATGCATTGTGGCAGATTAATTTTACATATACTCTACTAATGAAATAATTAGACGAAAAAATTATGTTCTAACCTTAAGCCAATTATAATAGGGAGAACTATGATGTTGACATAATACGTAATAACATTCCCTAAAAAAGAATGAAAAATACTTTGTTCTCAATTAAATTAATTGGAGGTATTTAACAAACAATAATATTAAACTATTTATCGACATCTCGGCTAATATTTATTTAAAAAAATTGAGATTTATACTCACTAGTATTAACAAGACACACCATCTTGATTATATAATTTGAAAATTATGTTAATAATTTGAGCAATAATTTCACAAATTTCAAGTTGCGAACACCATGCTATCATTTAATATTTGTATCAAATCTATTAGATATAAATAATATCTAGATGGTCATCGTGGAGCATGATGGGCCCTATTTATCACCCTAATTAATTTTCAGAAATATAGAGAAGAAAAAGATAATTTTGGTTTGTTTATTGTTTATTTTTTCCCTTTTCTTTTTTTATAAATGAGGAAATGTGATCCTACTAAAATGCCATTGTCCTTGTTGGTCAAAATTATCAATTTTCCAGATTTTTAGGTCAACTGGCAACTTAACTAATGTATTCCGTCATATTGGATTAGGATTACAGGTGTGAAATTTCAAAGGTTTGGCATCGTTGGTGATACAAATTAAAAGTTTGGTCAAGTCTGAATGAAAGTTTCAATACCATGACTGCACTTTTCCTTAAAAAAATGTTGAACATGATCAAAGAAAAGAAACACTCTAGGCACTTGCCCATATATCGGTGATATCTAAATAGAGCGAAGATGATTATGAGAACGAAGCACACGAGCTCCCCATATGCAATGATATAATTTAATGTGCGAAATAAAGACAAGTAAGATGTTTGACCAATTACTTTCTAGTCCAACATAACATAAAAGCAAAGTAAGCCGAAAAAACTCAAAAAATATTAAATAAAA